ACGAGTCGATGACTCGTCGGTTCAGGGCAGTTCAATGAAACGGCCCAAAGAAATAGCCAGGCCGGTTACGGTCCATTAAATTGAGGCATGCCGACCTGGCGGGCCGGGCCGGGCCGAGCCAGGTCACGACCCGTCATTTGGTCACGCCTACCTCTACGCAAATAATTTGTTCTTTTTTATATTATACTAGTGAGAATCATGTGCGATGCACGGAGATTTCGTAACAATTTTTTTGCACAACTTTATTTTAACAATGTATTAGCCCGTTAATCCGTTTATATTAATATAAATAACATTTTAACATATATATTTAATTTTTAAATACAGAAAATGGCAATTTTACATATCTTGGTTCATGATAATATTCAAATATTATTTTATTCAAAAATTTATTGTCGTATTATGTCAATATTATTTATAACATTTATAGAAATAATATTTTTTTATATAATAATAAATATTTAATGTATATTAATATTATTTATTAATGTAATTAATTTAAAAATATATAAGTAAATCTCGATATTTTAGGTACAAATATATAATATATATGTACATATATATGATATGAATATCTTGAGATACAAAATAAATTTTTATGTGATTTGTTACCTTTTAAATGAGCCGCAATTACCTAAATTGTATTTTAAAATATACCATGAGTGTTTAAATAGTGACCAGAATTAGTAAACAACATTCTTTTGGCCGGAAATAATTACTATTTAAAAAATAATCAAATTATATATATATATATATATATATAGATTACACAAATCAATGAGTTGATCCACGTATATTATATTTACTTTTGTGATACCAATAGCGTGTACCCCGTGCGATGCACGGGTAGTTAATATTAAATAATAATTATAAATTAAAGAGAATGTAAACAATATTAAATAATAATTATAAATAGGTTTTGAGTTTGAGTCCCCAAAGAAAGAAGTGGGAATAAAAGATATTATAAATTAAAGTTGAGTGTAAACAAATTAAAGATATTAGGTTAACATGTGATATAATGTTTAAAATAATACAAACACCTAATATATTATATTAACATATGAAAAATATCTAAAATTTTCTATATTATTATTAAAAGATGTGAAGTCACCTACAACTTTTCTAAACTATTTTGGAAAGAAAACGTGTCTAAAGACATTAACTTTCACTTTTGTGTGAAAGGTGTTTTCTAAATTTTTTTTTTTTTTTG